TTTTTTTTTTTTTTTGGGATAATGAGACAATTCTCGAGTCACATTGCACGAATCGAGGTTAAATTTATCCTTTTCGATTTGTTTAAACTAAGATACAGCATTTGTATCCAAATTAAAAGATTTGCTTTTCATGACGTTGCTCGCAAGGAATTGATGCTTATGTCTTTCTTGGGCATATTTGCTATGTGAACGCTCGCTTTCACCTAACAAACTCTTTGGAGGTTGAGTTGTGCCATTGTCTCGGTACCACTCAATCCTTGGATAAACTCCATTGATGTGATTTATAGCATAGATTTTTTTTTCCTGTGGTTTTAATAACAGGGGAACTTATAATTCGGATCTCGATTATTTTTAATACATGCATCGTAAATTTTCTGAGTGTTTGATCATTTATATTTTAAAAGTTACTCTTTTACCTTATAATAGGCACCAAAGAGGACATTAAAAATATGAATTTGAGACTCCAAATTAATGACAAGTGACTTTTGTCTTTTTATGTATTCTTATCCTATATTAAAAATAAAACTAATTTTTTTAGAACAAAAACGATAAAGTTTAATTTATTTTAACAAATATGATTTTAAAATTTATAATTTTATATATTAGCATGAAATTTATAAGGGACTAACTCATTTATCGCTTATCAATAATTTATCGGTACGAGTCATTTTTTTTTGTTATCATAGTATTAACCATATCTTGAAATTTTGACATGAGCAAATCTTAATAATCTCTTAAGAAATTCTAATAATGCATTAAACGATAACTACTATATTGAATATTTTTTAACAATTGCTCTTTTCAATAAATTTACTTCAAATGGTATTAATTTTCCCTATGTTTTTTTATTGATTTTGAATTCAAACTCGAATTTTTGTCAAAAATAAAAAATAAAAAAAAGTGTTGAATACTGCTATCTTTTCCTAAATTTAGAAGCCACGAGTAACTAATTTGTGTGGAAGTAAAGCATTACTTGTATGGACATGGATTATATACGGAAGAATTGAATCAATAGTTAAACGTGTCTCACAGGAGCATGTAGTCGGCAATCGCAGGTGTTAACATCGTATTCATGGACGCGGGCCAACTAACAAGAATAATTCGGGCAATGATGGCTAGATTAGAACAATAATTCAAAGCGGGCAATTATTTCCTCCAACTCAGACTAAAGAAAACTTCCTTATATCCATATATGTCATGATCTTATGTTGATGGATACTAATCAAGGAATTATTTTTTATTTCTTATATTATAAAGATTAATTAATTAGTTTTGATAAAATAAAGAGATTAGCTTATTATTAACTTGTAAAATTAGGAAGGATGAGGTATAAATTCGAGGGAGAGAGAGAGAAGGCATAAAACACACAAAAATTTTCATCCTTACAAACCTATATTTTTTTTAACTCCTTCCTTCCTTGAGGATAAAAACTTATTAGAAAATTTTTATAATACTCAAGAATTAACTAATGTAAATTATTTTATAAAAAAAGATAAATATAAATAGGAGAGATAAAATTAAAAAAAATTGAATCAACGTAAAAATCTTCTTATTACTTTGATTGGATTCAAATATGATTTTTTTTTGATATGTTTATCTCTTTTTTAAAAAATGAGCACATGGAGTAACTATTGTATATATATAATAGTTGCTCATTGAGTATTATAAAATTTCTTTTTAAGAAGTAACTAGTATAAATTATTTCATAAAAAGAGATGGATACAAACAAAAGAAAAAATACGAGAGAGAAATTAAATAAAAATGTGAATCAACGTGAAATTTTTTTTATCATTTTTAATGAGTTTGAATATAATTTTTTTTATATATCTATTTTTTTTAAAAATAAATTTATGAAGTAATTATTGTATATAAATAATAGTTATATTTTAAATATTATAAAATTTCTCAAATTTACGCTTCATTTCACACCACTCTCGAGTTAATTTTTAACTCACTCGGTTATTACCTTTCTAGTATTTTCCCCGAACATCATTAACAATTGGGAAAAGGTAGGCTGACCGAGTACCAAAATAGTCTCATTAAGTGCAGACGGCTCTAAATGATCATGAAGTAACAGCTACAGCTAAGCGTCCATTCAACGCAGGGCTCTACAGCTGCAAGTTGGCAATGGCATAGAAACATGGGAACTTGTTTGTATTTTGATCTACAGGATCAATTATCATTTGCAGATTTGCGGCATTTATATTCCCAGATGACACGAGTTATTGTGTGTTTCAGAAAGTTTATGATCCTAGACACCTCCGGTCAAAGGCAACGATCGGTCAAGATTTTGACGTCCTTTCAACAAGATATTTATGCACAATGGTAGTTGGGGCATCAACTCGAATAAAAAAAGATATTCTTGATCTACTAGCCCGTTAAAAAATACATGCATTAAATGAAAATATTTTTGCACGATGGTAATTTGGAAATCGACTCATATAAAAAAGATATTATTCATCTACTTACATGTTAAAAAATAATACATTAAATAAAAAAATATATTTTTTTAAATTAATATTATCCAATCGACATCAATTATGACAAAATAAGTATCGTGAAATAATAAACTAGTATTATCAAAAACATATGTTTTGAAAAATTGATGTAAAAAATTATTGACAACAAAAGAATACACTATCTTATCATCCTTCTATGCAATTTGACACAATTTATTACCATATAAGAATTATAAAAACAAAAAGTTTTAGGTTCATTTAGCTCTTCAAATATCATATTATTGTTCATTGTGTATTCACAATTATATAAACACATCACATCTTATTCAGATATCTCTTATTTTTCATATATTTATTCAATTATCAAAGGGTTTCGTAACCAGTAAAAAAAAACCCTGTTTTATAAATATTCAAGCAGGAGGAATTATTTTGGCGATTCATCTCTTTCATTCATTTAACCACAAAGAATCTATATAATCGTCAATTGCTAATTGAATTTTTCATCAGTCATCGCTATTGATTAATCAACATGCTATTATTTCTTGTTCTTGTTCTTGTTTCAAGACCGAGGCAGAGCAAACATCGTAATGCATTAATTAATAAGCAGTTTCTATCCGCTTTTATTAATGCTGTTGTTTATAGCAACATTAAAACCATGGTCAAAAAGGGGTAAAGGCAGCATGAATGTTTCCTGGATATTGAGAGTTCAAGACCAATAAAAAACGGTGTGAGAACAAAAAAATCCAAACCCAGCCTCCTGTCGTCTCTATTTTTATAGTGTGACGTCAAAGTTTATTTTGTTTTGATTGAGAAAACATATTTAGGATCATAAGTAGCTTCTATTTCCATTTTCTCATCCTTAAATTAACCAAACATGACCCTGTACAATATGCGAAGCCAGATCCACAATAATGATAATAAAGGGATCAGAAATATAATCCGAAATCTACTTGCTTTTTATGAATTTGAAATATAGAAAATGATATTTATAATGATCGGTTGTGCTCGTTTTATAAAACGACTTGTAGTTGACGAGGAGTTGTTTGCTCCAATAACTTATTGGCTAATTAAGTCAAGTTCAAATTGGGAAAAAAAAAAAATTGTACTTCTCCCTCTCTGATCAGGTAATTTTCCTTTCTATTTGAGCTATGCCCTTTTACGTCAGTTATCTCATCTTGATTCTTGAATGGTCATTCATCATGCATGTCACGGGACAGAAAAGGTTGATTGCCAACATTTTTGTTTTTGTTTTTTTCCTTAGTAACGTATTTCGTTATGAACATTTAAGCACAGCAGTATATAATAATATAAAAAATTTAAAATCATAAGTAGATGTTATAAATTAGAAGCTATATTATATTATTAGTCTAATAGGATTTGAAATAAATTTTAACAATAAATTTCTGAAAAAAAATTTGATTCTGTTTCTACCTATACATAAAAAAAAAAAAATTTGAGGGATGAAATTAATTATTTATTTCTATACATAGAGATAGAAAAAAGGAGGAGCATTTTTTGAATTTTTTTTTCAGATTTTTTTATTTTTTCATATTTATTTTTTAAATGCAACATGCTAGCATCTTATGTGTCTATCGCAGAAAATTGATAGAGTCATTGAAAAATTTAGATGAAGGAACGAAATTAAAATGTAAATTAAGAATAGATAGACACAATTATTGAAAAAATTAATAGAGACACATAATTAAAACAAATAAAACAGTAAAAAAACATGTTAAAGCTTTAACCTTCATTAATTATGATGACGGTGGCAATAGGAGAGGCGGTGATAATGGTAAAATAGTTGATATATGATAAATGTAAGTATGTCATTCTTTTGGGAAGAGAAAAGAAAAAACTTTGATCTCATTTTTTATTTTTATTTTCACTTTTTGATGATAATAAAATTAAGTTTAATTTAATTTTAATTTTTTTCAACCAAATATCTATAAAAAAAAATAAGACTTTTATTTTTATTCTCATCATTTTATTATTTGTTATCAAACAATATTTTAGTGTCTACAGATGAAAATTATACTCATTAGACGGTTGTTTATGATTAAAAAAATCACGTGAAAAAAAAAGAAAGAAAAGAAAACCTCCTGACATTCCTTCTAATGTTTTCGAAAAATAAAATGATAGGATTTTGACTGTGGTACGGGTAGTTTTAAAAGCATAACCACGATTAAATACACCAGAAGTGATCAAAGGAATTTATGCACGAGAAGTTCCATAATTCGCAGGCACTAGGAAACTGAGACATAGTATGATAGAATTGAAAATGTTGTTCAATTTTGCCATTAAAGAGAAGTTATATATAGTTTTATTTCTTCAAAGAGGAAAAAATAGATTAATTGTAATTAAAAATAGATTTTTTAGGGCTTTAGTTTTAGTTTTTTTAATTTCCAGATCAAGAGTTTATTTTAATTTTTTAAAATCCCAAAATGGAATTTGACACCATTGATAATGGTGCTACATGGGAGGACCACAACAGCAACAGAAGATTAAGTTCAAGGATCATATCAAAACAAACAAAAAGCACAAATGGACCCATTTATGAAAAATGAAGAGTATAAGGACCAAAAGCACCAACACCCTTGTTATTGATTGTGATTATTTTATTACTATTACATTTTTCTTTTCTTTTCTTTTTTGGCAAACGTACGAAGCGATTTTTACCAAAAATTTAATTGCACAAGGTAAATAGTAATGAAATTATTTTTGCAAGCGATTTTTTCTAGATGGTTAAAAATTTAATCACACATGTTGTCAGATAATGAAATTATTTTTCTTACAAGTTATTTATGATCTAAAATAAAAAAAAATTACTTCGTAGAAGTCACTTCAAATTCACTGGAAAAAAATTAATCAGTCCATCATGGAGCGACAGGTATCACTAAAATTATAATTATTGTTATGAACCTGGTCATTCTGAGGTTTTTCTTATGATTATTCTGAGATCAAAAGGCTTGCTTTTGTTTTTATCTTTGGATACCCAGATCAAAAAATAATCATCAAAGCAAACCAAACGAAACAAGACATAAATTTAACCACCAAACTCAATAATGCAAGTCATGATCATCATGGGGCGGGCCATTTCAGAATTGTAGCCGACCCCTTTAGCAAAAAACTAAACATATGATACACAAAAGCATGTTTCTTGATCTGTGGCAGGGTCACAATGCGTTATACATAATTAGAAAGTAACGAGCACAGCATATTTTCTGTGTACATGTCTTGATTCAGATGTCCTTGGATTCCATAGATCACTTGATAAGTTTTGGTAAATAATGGCATCAAATTCATTTACATGGGTCAGTTATGCCTTCTAAAGTTGAGCACTCGATGGCTACTTAACTATAAGGATGGTAATTTGCCTCGTTTTGCCCCATCCCGTTTAGGATAGGGATAATACTCAAAATTTTGCTCCGAATGAGACACGGAGTGAGGATGAGATAAAATTTTTTGAAACGAGATGAGGACAAAATAGCTATTCCTGCCTCCGTCTTATCCTATCTCGTTTAGAATGAGGATGGTATTTAAAATTTTACCTTAAACGAGGCACGGGGCAAAGATGGGGCGAAATATCGCCATCCCTACTTACCTGAAACACCAAATGCAAACTGCAGAAGATTTTTGAGGAAACGTCAATTCAAACTCTCACATGTTACCTGAGCGTCAATTATTTTTTTAGAGTTAATCAATTTTGCTCAAAGATAATCGACAATAACAGAGCTAGCAATCATATTGGGTCATGCAGGTTCGGGTTTGGTGCTTCAAATTTGGGTTGTATTCGGATTCATATTAGTACATGCTGTATTTTAATCCTAACTCATTGGGTTTGGATGAGTTCAAGCTAATCCATGGGCTTAAGAGTTTCTTTTCTTGCAAAGAAGGAAAGAATTCAACTATTGTTACATCTACAAACAAGTGTATGAATTACTAACATTTCATTTAATTATGATAATTTCACATTTCTATTCATACTAACAATGGCTCAAAGTCAAAATTGAAAAACACGCAGTACGTGGTTTTTTTTTTAAAAAAATTATTATTATCAAGTTTTCTTACACAAAGCAAACATATTATCTATGGATTATCATTGTTATATGAAAATTATATTGTAAGAAAAAAAAGTTTCAAAAGATTCTCTCTATCCCAATATGATCTTCCTCTTTGACTTTTCATACAAATTAAAAAAATTATTAATTGTCATACATTATCATTATCTTTTGTTTATATGTTTTTTTTAGAATAAGTTTATTAGAATTGTGTTTAGACAATCTTTTATAATTTTAATTAGGATTATTTTAGAAAAATACATCACAATCTTTTGATTAGATAAATGTATTTAAAACATATATAAATAGAAACACAGGCAAAATGAACAATCTCCTTAGGACATATGAATATTAATTTTTCCAATTATAGATATATTACACAATACCATTATTTTTCTTTATATGTCAGACAATAATTGTCTTAAGGAAACCAAACCACCTTGCGACTAACCACCCGCACATGCGAAGCCAAAAAGCTATAAATGGAAAAGAGCAATGACACGAAAAAAATACAAATTTTAATAGATAGAGTTTGAAGATGAGTTTTGATACTATCATGGAGATTAGAAAAGTGCAAAAAAATTGGATTGTTTTGTTTTTCTATTTTATCAATGCAAGAAAAATCAAAATATCTGAATTGATATTTTTGTGATTGGGCTATTTTGGGTTGAAAAATTTAGAGCCCGAGTCCATGACCCAACTTTTGTGAATGGGTTCGAATTGGGTTCCCATTTTTCACCTCTAGACATAAGACAATGTCAATCCTATTTAGATCCATTTTGTAGATCCGAAATTAATATTTTTATTTCACAGGTTCTTCAGACATGAGCACATTGGTATTGATGTTCCTTTGAGCACCGGTCGCTCTCTTTCTGCCAGAATCGAACTGCTTATGATGGTAAAAATCTTGTCAGGCAGAAAAAAAGTGGTTAACTTTCTTTTTTTTTTTAACGAATTATTGAGTCCCACGAATTCATGGACCAGCAAAGTTTAAAAATGAAGTATAATTACAGTTGAGACGAAGATGTATGAGATAATATATGTTTTTTTTTTGTTTAAAAAAAAATCATAAAACAAGGAAAAATACTTTAATTATGGATAAATATAAGATTGAATTCATCACAGGATTTATTCTATCATCTTAATAATTAGATAATTAAAAAAAATACTATGTTTCCATTCCGACTTGAACCAAGATGTTACTACCATTGGTTCCTAAGAGCAATGTGTGTACAGATTTCATCACCATAGATTGCTCAAACTTATAATAACCCTTTTTTATTTAATCAACAGAGCTTAAAAGAATTAATTCAATGTAATATTTTTTTAAGAAACATTCAAATCAAAGAAAAATCATGATTTTTTCATTTTTCCCAATAAAAAAAAGATAAAATTTTCCATTCAAGAGATTTCTAAAAATATATTATTGTATTAAGGCTTAGGGATTTATTATGTAGAAAACCCGTGTTAAGGTTCAGCAACCCCAGTGGCATTCATCTATGAACATATCATATAACAAAAAACCTTTCAAGTTCGAAATTTTTTACTTATTCTATAAGTTCATTTTGAGAAGAAATATATATATATATATATATAAACCAAAAATTACTCTAGTACGCACAAAAACCCATAAAAATATTTTCACAAACTTATTATTTTTTATTTTTCTCTTTTATGGATTAAATATTGTTAGTTGCTCCATAAACAACATAAAATTTCTCTTTACATTCTATCTCAAACTTTAAAATTCTTTAAAATTAAAAATTAAAAATTAAAAAAAATCTTGTCTCATTTAATGTATACATAATCCAGTCCAAGCTAATGTTTTTGCATCAATGATAATGAATATGCTGACTGGCCTTACATTCCACTTATTCCAGGTTTGTTACGCATCTAATTTTGAGGTCACATATCTGCGCTATCCATTAAATCCTCTCTCTCTCTCTCTCTATATGCAAAGCTACCATATTTTCTTGACATGTTAAACAACATAAACTTGCTCAAAGTTTTAGTTGGGTTGGATCATAATGCATGAGAACTCGACTGACTACTATTATTGCAATTCTCTGTTTAGAAAATGATAATTGAAGATCATGGCTGATGATATTTAAGAGGGTCACAATATGATTTTGGAAATTGATAACTCTCTCTTAGGGGAAGATAAAGTTAGACCATTTTGTCAACTTCTTTTTTCCCTGAAACCATTTCTATGCATTCTTCTTTAACGCTGGAAAGTAGGAACTTAGCTAGATTCTATTTCTTATAAGGAGATGACAAAGTTAGACCTTTTTATGCAACTGGCTGAGTATCAAGATTTTCGAGTCTGCCACCATACAGGCATGTATGAAGCTGGTTAGAGTTCAGACCGACACGCCTAATCGCCTATGTCAATTCAGATATCGTGGTGCTATAATCTCACTTGCTGCAAATTATTTAGCCTCAATTATTTTTTTCTTTTTGTGGTCTCTATAAAATAGATTTATCGGCTCAATTCTATCAGCTATAAGAGATTCAACGGCCTTTCTTTTTCTTTTTCATACAAAATTCTTGCTTGTACTAAAATACGGGATTGTGTTTGCTAATCACTGGAAGCTTGCAGAGGTTTGATCCTTGTGCTGTGTTTGTGTGTAGTTGTTTGGTCTTGGGAAGAAGCATGTACCCAACTCTTCGGAGATGTAATAACTAATAAGCAAGCACTTTGAGGAAGTTTTGCTGACGGAGACATTGGTGAAGTTTTCATGGACAACTGCATTCAGACATTTATTCTGCTTTGTGCATCTGTTCGGACATTCTTGGTAATTAAAGATCATTGTAGCCTTTTAAGTTTAAAACTTTTTAATCCGTTTATCAAGGGAGCCCTTTCTCCATCAGTTCCCATGTCAATGTGTTCCTATTACTGCTCCTAGATGACTATAAAGAAACTTACATTTTGATAGTTTTATATACGTATATTTGTTTGTTTGTTTTTTTTTGTTAAGAGAGGTTCCTAATTTCCCCTGAATCACCCATTGCCTTGACCTTAGGAGATGCTGCTTTTGCCTGTATAGAATGCTCCGAACCTGGTGCCTCTTTTGTTCTACAAACATTTTATCAACTTTGAAATTCTGTGCTGCGAACTTGCAATATCGTAGCATGTGAAAAGGATAGGCCCTATCACAATCACATGACATGGAATAAGAGTAGGAGAACTGGGCATGACATGAATAAGAGTAAGTGCAGGACATCAACTACATTCTATTTCACAGGTAGAGGTAGACCTTATTATGCACTCTTTTTTTTTTTTTTTCCTGAAAATAGCTCTAATGCATTCTTTTAATGCTATAATGGATACAGTAAGCAATGGCTGGATGACAGGGGGGCCATTCCAACTATTATCACAAGCAGTTCAATTTTGAGAGAAACAGAGTGGCAATGCTCAAAGGAACATCAATGTCCAATGTGCTCATGTCTAAAGAATTCTGTGAAATAAGAAAATTAATTCCAAAGCTACAGAATAGATCCAGATAAGATGCTCATCTCCTCTATCCCTGTTTTAACACTTTCACTCTAGGTAGCGGTAAAAGAGTTTTCTGAAGGTTTTACCACTCTGTCTACAAATTTCGATTATAGCATTAAAAGGAACATTTTATATATATTTATTGCAAATGGACCAGTATTCAGCCACGAGTTTACCACCAGCGTTTAGTTTCCATAAGCTTTGAAGGCACATCATACTCCACCATCTCCCCTACAAATACAGAAGCCCCAATGTCAAAGGCCAAAAACGAATGTCAGAAATCATGAAATTCTGCATTATATGTAATATCTGGCATGTATGCATGCACATCACTGCTGAAGGAGAGATATATGCTGGGAACATTACCGTCCGAGAGGACCATGACCATGTCACTGTCTATCACTGTGGGGACTCTGTGAGCTATTGTTATCACTGTGCATCCTGAGAACTCTTGCCTTACGATTCCTTGCAAAATGGCATCTATTGCCGAGTCAATTGAAGCCGTTGCTTCACTAACGCCACAATTCTGTTCCTTCTAAGCAGAATTCTCCCGATACAGAAAAGTTTTCGCTCCCCAATACTCCAATTCTCCCTTTCATCCTTAACTGTCGCCATGTAAAACCAATAAACTAGTAATTTGGAGATATCTACAATGATTTGTATTACAATGGAAATAATAAGTTGTTTGTCCTATATTTACCTGATGAATCCAAAAGCTTAGGAAGATCGCTGATTGTTTCTTTAAGCTGGCATTTCTCTATAGCCTTGAAATGCAGGACAAATGTTACTTTGAGAATTATTACCTGTCAAATAATCTGAAATCTAGTTTCATATAAAACTTTGTAGGAACTATAACGAGCTTACCTCCCATATTTCGTTATCAGGGTACTGTCCTAGTGGATCCAAGTTAGACCTAACGCTGCCCTTGAAAAGAGTTGGTTCTGGAGGAATGATACTAAACTTTGTTCTTAAACCTTCAATCCCATGGTGCAGATATCAAGTCCATCTATGAGAATTCTCCCACTCTGGCTCTACTAATCTGAACAAAACACTGGTTAATGTAGTCTAGCCACTTCCGGTTCTTCCAAGAACCTCCAATCTAGTCCCTTCTATGATTGTGCAAGAGATTCCCTTGAGAACAAGTGGAGGATTTGGACGATATCGTATCTTTCATCACCAGAAAACCAAAAAAGTAGGATATGAGTTTAGTCTTTCGGGTAAAAAAATCCAAACAATTTGAACTTGTTTCTCCCATACTTCAAATCTTGCAACTCTATTCTTCCATAAGTGGGCCACGAAGAAGGCGGTCTCATGCCTTCAACAATTACAGGAGGTCCTGGTGCTATGCACATGAATTGGTTGAACCTTTCGACAGATACAACATAGTTTGACAAGTTGCAATAGCAACGAGTCATAAGCGTTTGGGCACTTTTCAGAGACAGGGCATATGAAAGAGAGTCCCACAAAACCTTCAAAATATTTTAAAGTTTTCTTATCGATATCACTTTGTTATGATCTAAAATCAGAAATGCATTGATTTCAATTACCTGGTAAGTGTTTCCAAGGAATTAGAACAATTAGAAGTGCAGCAGTGAGTAGAATCAGATTCTGCAGCGTCTCTACGCGTAAAATCAACCACTCCGTGGCAGCATTAGAACGAAAAGAAAGCCTTGCATCTGTGTCAATGGTCTTAATATAGTCTTTGATAAAGATGTCCGTAATGTTAAAAGCTCTAATGGTGATCACCCCTAGAGATGTCTCAGCTGCCTAGTTCATAGTAGGTGCTTTAGTAGTTCAGTTAATTCTGATCAATTCCCTTGCCGTGGAGAGACATTATCCCTACATACACAAACTATATAAGAACATTATGATCATTGTAGAAAATAAATATTTAAGAAATCCTTCGGGAAAATCTTCTGTCTTTTTGAAAAAAGACCGCGTATAGTGTTGCTACTTGCTTGTGTAGCTAGAGCGAGGAGTGAAAAGTTTAAGCAGTCCCCAGTTTTTCCAATGGGAAAACCAGACGAAGTTCTGTGTGCATGCAGAAAGGGCCCCGAAATGAAAACTTGTTCTACGTTGGGAGCCCACAATCACATGGGTTTTTGTGGTGGTTGCAAAAAGGAAAAAAATAAAAAGAACAGGAAACATCGTACAATAAAAAGTAAAGTAGTTGCTGTGGGAAAGTTGATTGGTTGTTGAGTCCGTCAACTCCATATCTCAGTACTTAAAGAAGGCAAGAAACATACACTAGCCGCAGATAAGAGTGAGAGAGCTAAGATGCGAGATATGGAGCAAGTGAAGGGAGTGGTAAGGCACATAGTTCTAGCCAAGTTCAAAGAAGATGAAGTTGAGAAACACATAAAGGACTACGCCAATCTGCTCAACCACATCGAACAAATGAAGTCTTTCCAGTGGTAATTAACTTAAGCCTTCTTTTAAAGTTATCTACGTACGTGCTCTTTCTCTATAGTTTCGCACTAGGTTAGGTATGAATCATATATGCACCAATATAATATGACATCGTCTTCATTTATTAGTCCCTGGCCAGGATGAATTCCCCGACCCTTCCCTGAGCTTAATTTCCGTGAACTTAGGAACTAAAAAAAATCTAACAATTTTCTACAATTTTTACATGACAGGGGGGACAGACGTGAGCATTGAGAACCTTCATCAAGGTTTCACTCATATCTTTGAATCTACCTTTGAGGATTTAGAGGGCCGATCAGCATATGTAACTCACCCTGCTCATGTTGATTTTGGCACTGCTTTCTTGTCCATCTTGGCGAAAGTCGTCGTCGTCGTCGATTACGTTCCCATGCTCGTTAAACTCTGAATATGGATACCAGACTTTCTGCTGTACGTGCTGCTTCCTAGCTAGCTTTTGTGTGGAATAGTAACTTTATGGTTTCCAATAAACGGAGGCCTATGTTGACCCTCATGTTTGTGTGTATTTTCGATCTTAATTTAAAATGGCACCGCCATTTGGGACTACTGATCAGAAATAAGAGGTTAATTAGATTGTATGAATCGTTGTGCTAGAATGATAATATAAAATAAGTACCGGCCACGTGAAAGAAGCCATTACAACTATTATCACAAGCAGTTCAATTGTGGCAGAAACTGAGCTGGTGGCCAAGGCTCAAAGGATCATCAATATCCAATGTGCTCATGTCTGAGGAAACCAGTGAAATAATCACCAAACACCAATTTTTCATTGCAAAACGCATAGTTGATGACTGTTTGTCGCTTATGTATCTATTATGTGTATTGTTGTTGTTAAAGATCAATGTGATGAAAAAACGAGTGATTCGTCATCTATATTGACAAAAGGTGACAGATGGTATTACTCTACACTGAAGTTGGATCTCCACCTAAAATGTGAAGTCATAAAATAATAATAATAATAATAAAACTAGCCAGGTTGCAATATATATAAATATCACTAGTATTGTACCTTCATGTTGCTGCCGCTAAGTCTATATAATATGTTTTATTATTTTAAAAAATAAAAAAGCTAGGCATAAAATATAAATTAATTAACAATAATGGTGAGAATTTATTTAATTTAATATGTATTATGAAATATATTTATATTTATTCCATAATTGAGTTTAAATGTATTCTAGGAATATTTTTTATTGTGACCATTAAAAAAATATAATTTATTATTTATTTAAAATAATTAAATTAGAAGAATGTGCTGAATTAATTAATATTAGAGAGGTGTTTACTTTTAACTAATGAGTCCATAAAAAAAATAATAACCATTAATTTTTTCATATTTTAAATAATTAAAAAATCTAGAAGTAAAGTAAAACTTAATTAACTCTAATTGTGATAATTTATTTAATTTAATAATATTATTTAATATTTAATTAATTGATTTTAAATATATTCTAGGAATAATTTTTATTTGCAAAAAAAAAAATTATTGATTTTTTTAAAAAAATCAAATTAGCTAAATCAATTTATCATAAGAGTGTTTAATTTTAGTTAACAAGTCTATAAAAAAAATAACTATTAATTATGGAGAAAAAATTTATTTTGTGTAAATAATAAATAATAAAAAAATAAAATCATAAAAAGAAAATGTTTATTTTGAGTAGATAATAAATAATGAAAAGAATAAAAACATAAAAAAAATAAAAAAGAGACTGGGCTGGCTTATAGACAACCAGGCCTATGTGCTTGAACTGAAAGCATAACGCACCAATAATAATAAAACAGAAACTTTTTTTTTTTGTAATAATAATTAAATTAAGAAATAGTTTTGTATAAATTTATAACTCGAAGGGCCAAAGTACAAAAAAGTAAACAAATGGCCGAAAAATATTTTTTCTTTTTTCTTTTTTTGCAAAAATACAATGAAATCACATTCTCTAGCTCTTAGTTTATTTATAACGAATTCATTTATTTATAAAGGAAATATAGAAATAACACTGACCTCGTACAGTTGTACTTAACCAAAGGACAATTAATTGTCGACAAATAGAGATTTTATATGCATTTTACCTAAAAAAATCAAGGAAACAATTAAATTTGTAGGCGTTATAATTAATGACGGTATTGACCCAGCAAAATACCAAATAGTGCCGTATAATGCTACACTACAATACCAAATAGATTCATTAATTATAAAATTTAAAGCGTATAAGTATAACATTTTTGTGATTCTTTGTTTGTGAATGGAACTGTTGCGGAAACATCTCAAAAAATAGCCGTTGTCTATTTTCTGATTATTCTTTGGTAGTTATTAATTTCTACCCTTATCGAATTAATTATTGCTTTCTATATATATATTAGATACTGCTAAATCCCTCATATGTTTTATTACTCTATTAATTTTTTTTTGTAAATTATCAATACCCCTTGCATCTAGTCATTATTTGAAAACTAAGTTATGTGATGGTAGTTTATTTGTAATTTACAACATAAAAATTAGTGAGAATAACAAAATATTTAGTGGATTTAATAGTATCCATATATCTTCTCTTGTTCTTTTTTTTTTTTTTCCTTCTACATAGAGTTCCCATTTTATTTTATTTTCTTTTCCTTCTTTTCAAAGTTTGTTTTTCCTTTTTTTTTTTTTACAACTAATTTTACTTTCTTTTCCTTTTCTCTATCTATTTATATAATTTTTTTCTGTCATTTGTTTTTCTTTTCGCAACTAAATTAAACATAATTAAAGATAAATTAAAGACTTAAATAATATTTAAAGATATAATAGATGTAATTAAAAATGTAAAGATAAATTGAAAACTCGTGCTTTTATATAAAAACAAATTGAGATTTTTTTTTTAATTATTTTGTTACTGTTTTTTCATCACAATCTTTACTTTTATTATATTACCATCACCATTTTTTTTCCCTAGCATGTTGGTTGTTCTGTGCTTTATTTAAGAAAGCTACAAACTGATTTTAGAAACTGATAACTATTTCTCTGGGGAAGATAAAGTTAGACCTTTTATCAACTTTTTTTTCCTCCTAAACCATCTCTCTATGCGTTCTTCTTGAATGCCAAAAAGGTTGTAAGATAACTGTTCTTGTAACAAATGGCTTTCAACCATATGATGGACTAGACAACTCATCATGAGATTTTGCTTGTTCTTATCATATTTTTTTTATTATCTTTTCTGCTGTTGACCTTCGCAGCATATGGAGAAGTTTTACTAATGTAGTAGTATGGCGAAGTCTTATGGGAAGTGTCATACAAATTTCTATTGCGCGTTTTCGCTTAATAAAGAAGAACTCGAAGAAAGGTTGAAGAAGAAGAAGAAGAAGATTGAGAAGAGAATTTGAAATTGATTTCTATTTCCAGTATAATAATTTCCTGAATTCTGTTTTCTTGTCTCTCCTATTTATATGATATTCTAACTGATTTGCTAACTCAACAGAAACAGTTAAACTAACTAAATTGCATAACTAATGCCAAATCATTAAGCAATTAACACTACTAACTAATTAATATCCAAACCCTAGCAAAAACCCAGCTCCCAGCTAGCTATAAAACGCAACACTTTCATACTGCTTTTATATATTAGGCCTTAGGATTCTGTGGTTTCATTTTTTATCTTTAGCTGACAAATGGTACTGTTTGAATGCGTAAGATGCATCCGCTGGATTATTGTTGCCTGAAGATTATTATTGGAGTTGATGATAAAAAAAAAAAAAAAAAAAAACCCTAGAGATGACCTAATTGAAGTGTCTCCATTGAAGGCCTAAGTGACTAGAGGAGGAAGATAATTATATCTCGATGGAGAAACTAACATTAGCTTTTTGTGATTGGACATTCTCCTTTGGATCACAAATTAACTTCTGTAGAAGCTATTGTTTCTGTTTCTTTAGAAGGCTCCTACCTCCCTCCCTCGATTGAAGACATGCTTTTTGCGGTCATATACAAGATCTCAACCTTTCTGTTAATGTGAAACATGCTGTCTAATCCAAAGTTGAAAACAAATTTATTCATGCTATAGTGTATAGGAATATTGAAATTATAGTATGGAAATATTGATTTTAATGAAGAAAAATTATTAGCTCGCTCTCATTTTCGTTTAGTGGGGGAGCAGGACGTGGAGGTGGTGTTGCTGTTTCAAGTTGCACTCTTATTTTGCTTGCAATTTGCAGTCCAGTTCGTTCTGGGAAATCATCCATCCTACATGCTATTCTTGGAGAGATTCTGACGATTTCAGGGTCAATTAATGAGTAACAATGAAGTCTTTATGAACGCTATTATAAAGAAGCTAAAGGCAATGGAACAACAAAAGCTCCAGCTATGAATTATGCAGCTGAGACATCACTTGGTGCTGTCACAATAAGAGCTTTTAAGATGGCGGACAGGTTCTTCCAAAACTACCTAAAGCTTGTGGACAATGATGCTGTACTTAGGGTACTCAAAGCTACCTAAAGCTCTGTATTTGCCAGTTTTCTTAGCAAATTGGCCTTTTCAATATTGCCATTTGAATTTATTTCAGCGGCACGGTGGCTCCGTAAAAACCAAATTTGAAACCCACAAATGCGTTTTCTTTTCATTATTTGGTCCCCGTAGTTGTATTTCTGCAACTCTTTGGTTTCCAGTTTTCACTCTTTTATACTTTAGTATTACAATCAGATGTTTAATTTTCAACTGTTCTTGAGGTAAAAGCAATCTACATGGAACTGATCGACAAAAATACTGCTTGCATAGAAAAACATGTCTCTTGCCAGATCGTTTAGGCCTGGGGAGAAGCCTTAAGCTGCAGATTGGGGCTCGGGCCATTTCACTACAAGCTCTTCCTCGGCTCGTCTAGTTTGGTCTTCGACAAACTAGATTGTCTAGGAATTTCTTTGAAAACTGGAGGAAGTCTGCGTAGAGTTTCTATTGCGAATGGACCAGTATTCAGCCACGAGCTTCGAAAAGGAGGAGTTAGTTTCCATAAGCTTTGAAGGCACATCATACTCCACCATCTCCCCTACAAGTACAGAAGCTCCAATGTCAAGACCAAAACAAACGTAAGAAATCATGAAATTCTGCATTATATGTTTTATCAGGCATGTATGCATGCACAATACAGCTGAAGGAGGGATATAACTATGAGCTGGGAACATTACCATCCGAGAGGACCATGACCATGTCACTGTCTGTCACTGTGGGGACTCTGTGAGCTATTGTTATCACTGTGCATCCTGAGAACTCTTGCCTTATGATTCCTTGCAAAATGGCATCTGTTGCCGAGTCAATTGAAGCAGTTGCTTCATCTAACACCACAATTCTGTTCCTTCTGAGCAGAATTCTCCCGAGACAGAAAAGTTGTCGCTGCCCAATACTCCAATTCTCTCCCTCATCGCTGACTGCCACCATGTAAAACCAACAAACTAGTAATTTTGAGAGATTTACAATGATTTGTATTACGTACAATGCAACTGATGAGTTGTTTGTCCTACATTTACCTGATGAATCCAAAAGCTTAGGAAGATTGCTGATTGCTTCTTTAAGCTGGCATTTCTCTATAGCCTTGAATGAAGGACAAATGTTAAGTTTCAGAATTAGTACCTGTCAAAGAATCTGAAATCTAGTTTCATATAGAACATTTTGGGAACTAGAACAAACTTAAGCTTACCTCCCATATTTCTTTATCAGGGTACAGTCCAAGTGGGTCCAAGTTAGACCTAACACTGCCCTTGAAAAGAGTTGGTTCTTGAGGAATGATACTAAGCTTTGTTCTTAAATCCTTCAATCCCAAGGTGCAGATATCAAGTCCATCTATGAGAATTCTCCCACTCTCTGGCTCTACTAATCTGAACAAAGCACTGATTAATGTGGTCTTCCCACTTCCGGTTCTTCCAACAACTCCCAATCTAGTCCCTTCCATGATTGTGCAAGAGATTCCCTTGAGAACAAGAGGAGCATTTGGACGATATCGTATCTATCATCACCAGAAAACCAAACAAGGAGGATATGAGTTTAGTCTTTCAGGTAAAAAAAAAAAAAACCCAAACAATTTGAATTTGTTTCTCCCATACCTTCAAATCATGCAACTCAATTCTTCCATGAGAGGGCCACGAAGAAGGTGGTCTCATGCCCTCAACAATCGCAGGAGGTTCTGGTGCTATGCACATGAATTGCTTGAACCTTTCGACAGATACAACATAGTTTGACAAGTTGCAGTAGCAACGAGTCATAAGCACTTGGGCACTATTCAGAGACAGGGCATAAGAAAGAGAAAGTCCCACAAACCCTGCAAAATATTTTAAAATTTTCTTATTGATCTCACTTTGTTATGAGCTAAAATCAGAAATGCGTTGATTTCAATCACCTGGTAAGTGTTTCCAAGGAAGCAGAACAATTAGAAGTGCAGCAGTGAGTAGAATCAGATTCTGCAGCGTCTCTAAGCGTAAAATCAACCACTCCATGGCAGCATTAGAATGAAAAGAAAGCCTTGCATCTGTGTCAACGATCTTAAGATAGTCTTTGAAAAAGATGTCCATAATGTTAAAAGCTCTAATGGTGATCACCCCTAGAGATGTCTCAGCTGCATAGTTCATAATAGGTGCTTTAGTCGTTCCGTTAATTCTGATTAATTCCCTTGCTGTGTATAGATAATATTCCTAAATACACAAACTAAGTAAGAACATATGATCATTATAGAAAATAAATACGTAAGCAATTGTAGCATCAAGAGATGAGAGTTCACCTGAGCATACATTGCAGCTATAATTGCTGGAATGGATACAATAAGTACTGGCCACGTGACAGAGGCCATTACAGCTATTATCGCTAGTAGTTCAATTGTGGCAGAAACTGAGTGGCCAATGCTCAAAGGAACATCAATGTCCAATGTGCTCATGTCAGAAGAAACCTGTGAAATAAGAAAATAAATTCAAGAGCTAAAGAATAGATCGATAATACAATGCTCATGGCCTCTATCTCGGTTGTGTAAAGCATAAGAAATTTCAACTTTGAATAGAACCGCCCTGACATGTTCATTTACTAATACTTCCATTTGTTTTTCCGTTTGGCTTCGTGTTTGAATAAATTCTAGATAATTTCCCTGTGTTTGAAAATTTAAGGCTTTCTTAATTCTCTTTGACGAATGTTTAGTTAGGTGTATGGCACTAACTCTTATATTTCAACAAGTTTGTACTCTGACGCCCAAGCAAAAGCAGGAAATGATGAAATAAATGGTAGCAATCAGAGAGAGAAGCGCAAATGTATATTTGAAAAACAGTGGAAAGGGTGGTAAGTCGAAACAAAACTTTAGCAGCTCACTAATTGAAACAAGGTTCTTATTTACCCGAGTATATATCCTTCCAACGGGGGTAGAGTCATAGAAGCGCATGGGAGCTTTGAACAATGACTCATTGATACCTGAGAAGAACGCTTTTGAGGCTTTCAATCCTAATAGGGCACTAAATAATGACCTTAAATATACAAAAGGAGTGCTGAATATGGAAATTCCTGCGTAAACTCCAATCAAGATGCCACTGGAAACTTTAGGATTTCGAATTTCTAGCGCCAGCCAATAACTTGCACCGGCCTGAAGAACGGAAAAGGCAAGCCGAGACAGTATGACCGAGCTGAACAGAATGGAACCTTTTGATACATGAAGATAATCTAAAAGTGGTTTGAGCCCAACGTTGCCAATCTCCCTCTCTTCTTCTTTCGTTAGCTGGTCACCTGCCGGAATCTCCTTCTCGTCGTTTTCTTTAGAGGAGAAACGCTCATTGGACTCCTCAAACTGATCTATAATAGATTTTGAAGTTTCAGTTTGTTTGCCATCTTCTGAAGAGATCAATTCAGTGACTGCATTCTTATGTGCGTTCACAAGCTGTTCAAAAGTTGTCCCAGCAGATCGCAATTCCTCAAAGCTTCCTGACTGCATTATCTGTCCACCTTCCATGACCTGGAAGGAAATGCACAAGGTGTCTTCTGCGTAAATCAAACCATTCACATCAAATTAAAATGATGATACCAATACAGCTTTTACCAGAATCTTATCAGCATCTGTGAGGAATTCAAGCTGATGTGTCACCAAAATGACAGTTTTATCTTTGAGAGCAGCCGATACACATTCCTGTAATTAAAACCTTTGAAAGTAAGTGGCCTAGCCTTGTTACCATAAAGAACTATCTGAAAACTTAGAAGATGTGTGTGTTTGCTGCAATAATTCACAGTAAAAGCAAAAGTCTTCTTTACGTTTTTTTCTAGCTTTTCACGAATGTAACACTTATTTTCTTACCCTGGAAAGGACTGCCGCTGTATGGACATCCACTGCACTGAAAGGGTCATCAAGAACATAGACATCGGCATCTTTGTAAACCGCCCTAGCAAGTTGAATTCTCTGTTTCTGACCACCACTCAAATTAATCCCTCTTTGACCGATCTCTGTGAGATCACCATGGTTGAAGCTGCTAATATCCTTATCTAAAGCACATGCTTTTGTAACCATGTCATATCTGGTTCTATCCATTGGCTCTCCACATAGTATGTTGTCACGAACGGTTCCACTCCGAATCCAAGGTGTTTGTGAAACATAGGCGATGGATCCATTGACATGTACCTACAATACAACATGCAATCAAAATGAAAGAAAAGAACATTATAATCTCCTATAAAGTACGCAATGTTAGTGTCTTTTTTTTTTTTTTTGCACTTACTGATCCGGATATCTTCGGTATTTCTCTGAGAATAGCGTATAGGAGTGATGATTTACCAGAACCAACTGGACCGCAAATTGCAATTTTGTGCCCCCTTGTAATTTCAAAGTTGATATCTTTTAATGCTAGAACAACAGATTCTGGCTCCCAGCTAAAGTTACCTCCTTGTATTTCGACACATTTGTTTGAGCTCTTGTCTAAATTCTTTGATGAAACTTGCTTTTCCTCCATGTTGACATCATCTTCAAGCAAAAATGCGTTCAGGCGATCCAGTGAGACCTTGGCTTGAATTAGTATAGAAAGCGACTCCGGGATCCACTTCATAGGCTCTGACATACTCCGTAAAGTTGCCAATACTGTGAATATTGTCGCAGCGTTCAATGGGGCGCTTCTTATGAGTGCACATCCAATGAAGACAACCGCAGAGACGATAGTTGGTGACATCCAATACAGAACTGTGATGTAGGGCCTTTTAAATTGTATTTTAGCCAAGTATCTGTATTCAGTGCCTCTCAGCAAATCAATTACGCTTTTGAATTTATCTTCCCATGATTGCAACTTGATGATTTTCATGTTGTTCAAAACTTCCATGGTGGCCCTCAATCGTTCCTCTTGTGCAACCATGAACTGGGACTGATACTTCTTATGTAGTTTAGCAAAGGGCACGTTAAGAAAAATGATAACTAGGATGGGAACTAGAGCAGGTAGTGCAGCAAGACCAACAACCTTGAACAGAACGCCAGTTGCAAGAAACAGCTGCAAAACAAGACTCCATGTCCTGTGGAACCACCACAACATATCCCCCATCCGATAAGCATCAAAGGCGATATAGTTCATAATCTCACCTGTTGAGTGTCTTCTCCTTCCTAAACTAGATAGCGTCAGCTGCTTTTGGTAGATTGCTACCATAATGGCTGATCTCATTCTCAAACCAGACCTCCTTGCATTGAAGTACCAATGCCTTTGAGATAAAGACTCCATCAACTTGATCGCTGCCAGGCATCCCACAAGAATCAAGCCTTTTGATGGGATTTTGTGCTCATTTTTGGTGTATTGCACGAAGGCATAGACCAGCAAGGGTGCTGCCACAACAGCAATTGTCCTAACAAATGCACAAAATCCTACAAATAAGGTCTCTCTCCATTGAGTCATAACTAAGGCTCGAAGAAGCAAGTTTTTGGCATTACTAGAGTTGAAGTCTTCACTAAGAGAACCCCATATGCACGAGAACCTCTTATATGCTGCCTGGGCTTCATCCTCAGGCAGGAGTGTGGGGATATCTTCAAGAACCAGTGGTTTTGAATAACCTAACTGCAATAATGGGTTAATCCAAGAAATTGTTAAACGACTGATGACACTTGCTTGGCCTAGTTTTGTTTCAGTACTTGCACCCTGTTTTTTCTCTTCTTTTCTATTCGATGGAAGTTTAGAAAGACTCTTTTCCGTGGAGGCTACAGAATCATGGCGACGGAATACAGTTGACAAGTTTGAACACCATGGCATGACCATATTAACCTAATTAAAAAAAGTTAAATACTCAGCTGCTTGAATGCCCTAATCTAGTTCTATGTATGCTTGAAATCCTAGGAATTAGCAGTTCCATGAGAAACTGGCTACTTGCTCAAACAGAAAGTCATATCAAAAGAAGATAGAAAGAAAAGAGAAACAAACAGAATATATGCTGTGCGTCAGTAATTTCGGGTTGTTCTTATTGTAGTCAGGTTGCCTGTGTTCCCAAGGGATTGAGAAGCTGTGTAGATGAGTGGAAGAGGGCAATAGGAAGGAAAGAGAAGACAGTGAGATCATAACAATGACAAAACTGAGCTCACTCCAACATAGAAAGTCATCCTACTATAAACTAGAACAAGAACCACAAAAGATGTCTTGTAAGGATAACAGGGTAATTTTGATTTGATTCAAACCCAAATTCAATTTCACCGTATACAAATAATTAGTTGTAATTATTTATTAATAGTACTTAGATTTGAGTTCATTTGGTATGAAAAAAAATCTAATAATTGATAATACTAAATATATTATGACGCTTGATTAACTCAGAAAATGATAGATTAACTAACTCAAAACACTTATAAATATTTTTTTTAAAAAAATGTATCGAGTAGCTGTTGCTACATGATAAGTTAGGCCCGTGAATTTAAGGAGACTATTTTGATGGTCTACGGTCAGTGTACGTTTTCCCAATTGTCAATGACGTTGTGGAAAAAAGAATACTCTTCGACCTAACTTCGCCAGCACATTTTTCACATGGAATTAACTTCTCTGTGATTAAATTACAAGTTGTACGAAAGTTATTTTTTATTTTTTTGGCAAACATTAATAAGTAATTGCAAGGAAATTTCTCTTCGGCCACTGAACTTACTTAGCTCTCTACAGTATATATATATATATATATATATATATATATATATATATATATATATATATATATATATTTTTTTTTTTTTTTTTTGCTCCACCAGTTTTTCTATTTTTTCCCTTTAACTCATGGTTAGCCTCCAGAATACCAATTTTTGTTTTTCCATGAATGAAAATTTAATCATAATTATATTTACATATACATTGGGGCACATATAAATTTTTATATTTTATTGATAATTGATCATAAAAACATAAATATGTAGTCAAATATTTTAGGCTAAAAATAAAAAATCAAATATTACAATAGCTGTAGTATTGTACAAGATTCTATCATTCTAAATAATATTAAAAAAGAAAATATTTAAATCTAATATTTCTATTGAAAAAAAAATTGTAAATTGCTATTTTCAGTATATTATTAAATGATAAAAAATAATAGAAATATAAAGTCAATATAATATCTTGAAAACTATTGATATATTTTTTTATTATTATTTAGAAGAAGCAGAACTGAAATAATATTTTTAATATTAAGAAATCCATGTTTATCATAATATCAAGGGGATGATTATAAATTAGTTCTTCTAATTTTGAGAACCAAATTAATCAATCCCTCTTGTTTTAAAAACTAATTATTTAGTCTCTATATTTTAAAATTTTCTTATAACTTAATCCTTTTTGTTTTTTTTTCAACTTATCTTGATTTTTAAGAAAATAAAAAGAAAAAATAATTAAAAATATAAAATAATTGATGAGAAAATATAATATTATGTAAAATAAAATAATATTAAATTAAACATAATTAATACTGATCAAATGATTAAATAATTAAATTTTTTTTAAAAAATAATTTGTTCCTTAAAATTAAAAGTACTAGTTTATAATTACTCGAATATCAGCGTATAAAAGTTCTAAATATATTTTTTAGCAAATTAATTAGAAGCAAATAACATTGGGATATTAAAATGAACGATAAAATTAAGTCTTTTTGGTGGATTTGTTAAAAACATTAGGAAAAAAATCAAAAGAAAAGGAATTAATGTAATGCGGAGTATTCCTCTGACAAATTTTCAGAAAATTTGGACTGTGATATTGAATTTTACGCAAATTTCACCCATCCAAAGATTGTTTCCACCAAAGTTAATTTTTTTGTATAGATTTGATTTTTTTTCCCCTTTCAATCATAACATTGATCTTACTAAAATCATGTACTCGTGCACATATACAACGGGAATTGAGCAATATATATAAATTTATAATCCAAAATAATATCTTGATTAATACATTATTATCCTCGCAGATCAAGTAAATCAATCTTGTCTTTTTATAATAATCAATTCAATTATGTCACCATTCAAGATAAAAATACAAAATTCGGCTAGAAAAAGCAAAATAAAGGACAATTTATATCCAAATGGAATTTTTTTTCACGAACAGAGGCGATACCCTAAAATTTATTAAAGTAACGTGGGAAATAACAAAGGAAGACAAATCAGCCTAGCCCAACGAAAAAAGAACAAGAAAGCCTAAACCACTGATATAAGATTACAGAAAAAATTCCTTGAAGACTACATTATAAATTTCAGAATAAGATACAACCCCAACTATTGCTATCGCCTAGCAAAATACATCTCCAAGGATCTATTGGCTAAATCCAATTTTAACTAAGACGAAAGGTATATAGCTCCAGTTTGTCATCCGATAGTGCAGCTCTGTAGTTTATTGGAAGTTCTTGAGGAGAGAAAACAAGAACATTGGACAGATTTTGGAAGGCCCAGTTTACAAGCTTATTTGCAACCCTATTACCTTTCCTATGAACATGCTGAATGTTCATATTAGCTTGAAGTTTTTTCCTGCATTCTCTAAAAATGGAGGTCAGTTGCCATGGGCAATCGCATGAGCGTCTCAGCCCTCCTACGACCAAGGAAGAATCTGCTTCTATAATCTCCACCCTGAAGTTGTACTGGGCACAGATTTTGATGCCTTCAGGAAGTGTCAAGCTTCTCCTTTAGAGTTTGTTCCAAGGCCAAAAAGACTATAGAAGGCCATAAGGACGTTGCCATGCTCATCAAGCTGAACACCCCCCACCACAAATATTATTTTTTGATGCACCATCTGTTTTAGTTTCAACATGCCTATCGAGGGATACTGTCACTTATTCCACTTGCCTTTTAATTGCAAGGAAGGTTGTAGCTGGATGCCCAAAATTGAAAAGCATAATCTGTCACTTGCCTTTTAATTGCAAGGAAGGTTGTAGCTGGATGCCCAAAATTGAAAAGCATAATCTGTCATGAAAGGAGAGCTACTTCTTGGGAGAATAAAGCATGGGGATGTCACTTAGTCAAAGAAGAACTTTGTACTTAATGTGACATCCATTCATTTTCTCATCCTCAAAAACAACTTTATTCCTAGTTAGCCAAATTTCTCATATAGTGCAGTTAAATACTATCATACGAGAGAAGCTTTTTTGATAGAGGAAGTTACCTTTTGGAAGCCACTTTGACATGAGTTGAATCACTGAGGGAGGACGGGGAGGAACATCCAGTGCCGCGGCAAAGAATATCCAAATGGAAATAATTAAATGTTATAAGTATAAAAGAAAATGATAGTGATAAAACAAATACTAAATCTACAGACTTAACTCTTAACATAATAGTAATAATATATTTATTCCTATCGAAAGACAAAATAATCAAATGATTAGGGAGGAATTATAAATTAGTCCCTTTTTTTTTTAAAAAAAAACAAATTAATTACTCCTATTTTTTAAAAATAATTATTTAGTGTTTTACATTTTAATTTATTTTTTTATCATTTTTTAGATTAGTTTTTTTTTAAATTATCTTTTTTATGATTTATTTTTTTTCACCCACTCTTTTTCTTTTTTTCAACAAAAAATCAAAGAAATAGTAATTTGAAACAAAAATTACTTATCTAATAAAAAATTAAGTTATTGATGAAATTAAAATATATAAAGTTATATAATTAGTTTTTTTTAAAAAATAGACTAATTAATTTATTTTTCTAAACAAAATATAATTTAGTCAAAGATTCGGAGTTTCGAAAGCTGTTAGACATGATCCGTGGCACGTGGCGCGAAGTGACAGCACCCGCCAGCTATTACATAATAATAAATGGACATGCCAAAGCTCCAGCAATTTACATTTCATTACTAAGTCGACTTTATGTACTTTTGGAAACTCTGGTTTTTGGATTTTTTTTTTTATAATAAAAATCTTTGAAAAGCGTGTTTAAAAGTTATTTTGAAATCTATTTAAAGGCCAGAAATAAAAAACTATAAAATAAAATTTTAAGGCTTTTAAATCTTATATAACATAAAAATATTTTAACATCATTTATTACAAAACAATTTTTTACAACTAGTATCTAGGAACGCGTTTCGCAAGGTGTATCATTTAATTGATTCATAATAATTTTTATAATTTCTAATAGATTCTTTAAAATTATTCATGAATGACTAAATTTGAATGTTTATTAAATTAATATTTTTACTTTCAAATAAATTTATATAAATTTTGAGATAAATATATTAATCTATCTTTGTATATTCAAAGTTTTCCATATATACGTTTCAAAGTTTTAAATTACATTATATATGTTTCTATAAATTTTTCAAATATTCAATCAATTATTTCGATAAATTTTTTCGACCATAGAAATTTTTTTGATTGAAATGCTTCTTGTTGAAAAAAAAACATAAAGTCATAAATAAGACTTTATTTATGACTTTAAGTTTTTTTTTTTTTTTTTGTATTTTAGTAAAATGATATTTGGTTAAAAAATTTGTTTGTGTGTCAAAAAAATTGATAAAAAAAATAGATAAATTATTTTAAAGATTTTCTAGTAATCGATGGAATGTAATTGAAAACTTAAAGATAGATGAGAGATTGAGTATTATATAAAGACATATATAAGTGTAATTCTCCTTTCTAATAACTAAAATTAAATTATAATTTTTTTTATATTTTTGAACCATACAAAATGATTTTTTGATTGGGATTAAGTAAAAATTTGTGACAAAATTTGAATTATCTTTCAAAAGGTAATAATTAATAGTTAATATAAACATATAAAACTCTTAAAAATAATAATTACTAAAACCTTTCCACATAACATTATATTATTATGAACCATTTTCAATTTAAAACAGTTCTTTTCAAAAGGGAATTAATTGCCAGTAGTCAGTAAGCACCATATTTATGGTTCGATATAGACAAACATACCTAATATGCAAAAGCTATTATACATGTAAACACGATCTAAGTGTTAAATGCCAGAGGAGATAGCACTATATGTATATATTTATATATGTAAGCATCAATGGAGTGAGTGCATTATACACGACACCTACTAATTTACAGGACAGAAAAACCAAACTGAATAAAATTCTAAATACTTCAAGAAAAAAACATACATATAAGTCATATGATTTTAAGGCTTTTTTTTCATTTTAATAAAATGTTTTTTGTTCAAAAAAATGATAAGAAAAAACAAATAGAACATTTTAAAAAATTTTAAAAATAAATAAAATGTAATTGAAAATTTAGAGAGAGATGAGAGACTTTGAGTATTATATAAAGACAAATGAGTATAATTCTCCTTTTTAATAACTAAAATGAAATTATAATTTTTTTAATATTTTTGAACCATACAAAATGATTTTTTGATTGGGATTAAGTAAAAATTTGTGACAAAATTTGAATTATCTTTCAAAAGGTAATAATTAATAGTTAATATAAACATACATAACTCTTAAAAATAATAATTACTAAAACCTTGCCACATAACATTATATTATTATGAACCATTTTTAATTTTAAACAGTTCTTTTCGAAAGGGAATTAATTGCCAATGGAGTCAGATAAGCACCATATTTATGGTTCGATATAGACAAACATACCTAATTTGCAAAAGCTATTATACACGCTAGAGGAGATGGCACTATATTTATATATTTATGTACGTAAACATCAATGGAGTGAGTGCATTGTACACGAAACCTACTAATTAACAGGACAGATTGACCTGCTGCTGTTTGAGTAGGATCGAGGCTTTAGAGAGGAATGTTGGCTGTTGTTTCCAAAACTTTTATGTTTTAAGTCGTGAGGATAGGTGAAGATTGATGTAAATAGAACTTGCAGTATAAGATGTTACGCATACGATCTTCGTAGAATAGATACAAATTGCCGAATCATATAAATCTTTTTGTTGTATGATTTTTTTTTTTTAATTCTATTTTCTTGTTTGATCTGTTTCTTAACACCATGGACTCTGAAACGACAGTAGTGGGACAAAATAGGGCTTCGTAAGCTTAGTTATGGAGCACATTGTTGTGGCTTCTTTCAAGTTTCTTCAGCAGATCAATTCAGCAGGATTAGGATTTTGTGCTGTCTTGATTTTCCTCTTTTGATGAGAATGGCCATAATATTCTTATTCTTTTTTCTCATTCTTTATTTCCCTTGTAATAAGTTTCTTATTTTCTCCAGAGAGAGAAACAGAAGGGATCTCATATATGCACACATGGAGCCTAGTAAAGATGTTATGTAATGTACGTACGCATCTTGCATTTGAAATGAATCAGGATAATAAAAAAAGGTGTATTTCTATGGCTGAGTTCAGTTGAGGAATTTCATTGAACTAAGAACTGATAATCTGCTAGGAGTTTCTCTTGCAGCTGGACCAGTATTCAGCCACGAGCTTGGAAAAGTAGGAGTCTGTCAGCATAAGCTTTGAGGGCACATCATACTCCACCATTTCCCCTAAAAATACAAATCATACAGTCAAAATTCCATCTGCGTCTATTAGGATACTGAAGAAAACCAATAACAGTTAAGTACTATCATATGTGGATTCCACTGAAAGAGGCACTTAGTGGAATATTACCGTCAGAGAGAACCATGACCTTGTCACTGTCTACAACTGTAGGGACTCTGTGAGCTGTTGTTACAACAGTGCATCCTGAGAACTCTTGCCTTATAATTCTTTGCAAAATCGCATCTGTTGCGGTATCAATGGAAGCAGTTGCTTCATCTAGTACCAGAATTCTATTCCTTCTAAGTAGAACTCTCCCAAGACAGAAAAGCTGTCGCTGCCCAACGCTCCAATTCTCTCCCTCATCAGCAACTGCTAACCCATAAATTGTACAGACTAGTAATGTTGAGACTTGAGAGATTTACAATGATTTGGATTACAATGGAGATGATAAGTTAATGTTTTCCCTGTAATATTACCTGATGAATCCAAAAGCCTAGGAAGGTTGCCGATTGTAGCTTTAAGCTGGCATTTCTCCAAGGCCTTTAGATGTAGAACCAATAATATGTGTTGGTTAGTGTCTTTGTTAAATAATCTGCAGATGAATTTTTTAAATAGAAAACTTTTAGAAAGTGGAAAAAAGTTGGTTTACCTCCCATATTTCATTATCAGAGTAAATTCCTAGAGGATCCAAGTTAGACCTAACACTGCCTTTGAAAAGAGTTGGTTCTTGAGGAATAATACTTAGCTTGGTTCTCAAGTCCTTCAGTCCAATAGTGCTTATGTCAAGTCCATCTACGAGAATTCTCCCACTTTCGGGCTCTAACAATCTAAACAAAGCACTTAATAATGTAGTCTTCCCACTTCCAGTTCTTCCAACAACTCCTACACTGGTCTCTTCCACAAACGTGCAAGTGATTCCTTTGAGAACCAATGGAGCATTCGGACGATATCTTATCTTTTTATCACCAAGAACCACGCTATTAAAACAAAAATTATGTATTCAAGGAGAAAGACCAAAATTATTACAACTTGTTGCATCTTACCTTCAGATCCTGCAACTCTATTCTTCCATCAGTTGGCCATGAGGAAGGAGGCCTCATGTCTTCTACAATTGCTGGAGGTTCTGGTGTTGTATGCATGAATTGCTCGATCCTTTCAACAGAGACAATGTAGTTTGACAAATTGCAATGGAACCGGGTCATAATCACTTGGATGGTATTCAACGTAATAGCATACGAAAGAGATAGTCCCATGAATCCTTCAAAGTTCAAACAGTAATAACTTTTCTTGATGAACATTCAAGAAGAGTCTTTTCTTTTACATTTTATGAGCAAACTCGGCAATTTATGTGTTTTAGTACCCGGTAAGCGTTTTCCTGGTAGTAGAACAATAAGAAGGGCAGCCGAGAGTAAAATCAGATTCTGCAGTGTCTCTACACGTAACATTAACCACTCCATGGCAGCATTAGAATGAAAGAAAAGCCTTGCATCTGTGTCAATAAGCATAAGATAATTTTTGAAGAACATATCCTTAATGTTAAAAGCTCTAATACTGATCACCCCTAGAGATGTTTCCGATGCAAAGTTCAAAATAGGTGCTTTGGTTGTTCCGTTGATTCTCATTAATTCCCTTGCAGTAGAGAGATAATATCCCTAAGTACAGAAAAACCATGTAGGAAAATCGTCAGGTTATTTGATCAATGCTTAGAAGGAATAACTGAAGTAAATTAGCAACTCTAATAGTGAGCATTATTGCAGCTATAATTGCAGGAATGGCAACAATGAGGACTGGCCATGTGACAGGGGCCATTACAACTATTATAGTAAGTAGATCAATTGTGGAAGCAGCAGCAAAGGAAATGCCCAAAGGAAGATCAAAATCCAATGTGCTCGTGTCTGAGGAAACCTGTGAAAGAAAAATGTATATATACCTCAGATTGCTTAAAAACTCTGGCTCTAGTCCTCTACATCGAACACAGTGTTCTAAAAAAGCAATACGAACTATATAAATAAAAATACGAGAAAATTCATGGAAAAAGCAAGATATTAAGGAAATTTTACTAGCTTTCAAACTGAAACAGTAGCATTTTAGTAGCTCACTGTTAGATGCGAGGGTCTACTTACCTGAGTATATATCCTCCCTACTGGTGTGGAGTTAAGAAAGAGCATGGGAGCCTTGAACAATGAATTATTGACCCCTGAGAAGAAGGCTTTTGAAGCTTTTAATCCTAGAAGTGCTGCAAACAAAGACCTTAGATATACAAATGGTGTACTAGATATTGAAATTCCTGCGTAAACTCCAACTAAGATGCCATTGCTAATTTTAGGAATTCGAATCGATACTGCCAGCCAATAACTTGAACCTGCCTGAACAACAGAAAAGCCAAACTGAGACAGTATAACTGAGCTTAATAGAAGGAAACCGTTGGATACATGAACATAATCCAAAAGTGGTTTTAACCAAGCATTGCCAATTTCCCTCTCTTCTTCCTTTGTCAGCCGACCATCTATTGACTATTCCTTGTCAGTATTTTCTTTAGGGGGGCAGCCCTCACTAAAGTCCTCAGACTGGCATATATCAGAATTTAGAGCTTTCGTTTTGTTTCTGTTTCCGTAGTCTGAAGAGACACATTGATCAGTGACTGCATTTTTATGAGCATTTACGAGTTGTTTGAATGCAGTCCCCACAGTTAGCAATTCCTCATAGCCTCCTGATTGAATTATCTGTCCAGCTTCCATAAACTAAAGTGAAATGATCAGAATGGCTTTAAAAACATCAAAATGGTTGAAACTACGAGCCTGTTGACACTAATTCATGCAAGCTTTTACCAGATTTTTATCAGATTTTGTCAGGAAATCAACTTGATGAGTCACTAAAATGACAGTTTTATCTTTGAGAGCATCTAAGACACAGTCCTGTAATTAGCATGGTTTAAGTAAGCATCTTAATGTGATTTAGAAACTACTGATTATAACAAAAAATTCTTAGTTTCTAAATAATAAGCACAAACATGTTTCTTACATTGAAAAGGACTGCAGCTGTATGTGCATCCACTGCACTGAAAGGGTCATCGAGAAGGTAAATATTAGCATCATTGTAGACTGCTCTAGCAACTTGAATTCTCTGTTTCTGTCCACCACTTAAATTAATCCCTCTTTCTCCAATCTCTGTAAGATCACCGTGGTTGAAACTGCTAAGGTCCTTTTCTAATGCACATGCTTTTATAATCTTATCATATCTGGTCCGATCCATTGGCTTTCCGCAGAGTATGTTATCGCGAACTGTCCCGCTCTGGATCCAAGGAGATTGTGAAACATAGGCAATGGTTCCAATTACATTTACCTACAATGATTAAAATATATATATATATATATATATATCATATGGCATTCAGTTCTCTATAATGTCAATAGAGACTTCTTTGTTACTCACTGATCCTGAAATCTTCGAAATCTCTCCAAGAACAGCATGTAGGAGTGATGATTTCCCGCAACAAACTGGACCCCAAATTGCAACTTTCTGCCCCATTTTGGCTTCCATGTTGATGTCTTTTAATGTTAGAACATCTAATTCTGGTTCCCAACTATAATTACCTTCTTGTATTTCGATGCAATTGTCTAAGGTATGTTCTAAATTGTTTGATCAAAATGCTCATTTCCTCTTTGTTGAGCTCGTCTTCGAGAAGGAAAGAATTTAGACGAACCAATGACACCTTGACTTGAATAAGCATACAGAGCGCCTCAGGGATCCATCTCATCGGCTCTGACATGCCTCGCAAGGTTACCAAGACTGTGAAGATAGTGGCAGCATTGAGTGGAGCACTTCTTGTTAGCACACATCCAATGAAGACCACTGAAGAGCAATGGTTGGCGACATCCAATACAGAACAGTGGTGGAGGACTTTCTAACTTGTGATTTTGCTAAGCATTCATATTCAGCACCTCTTAGCGAATCAATAACTTCTCTGAATTCATCTTCCCATGATTGCAACTTGATGATTTTCACGTTGTTTAAGATCTCCATGGTTGCCCTTAATCGTGCATCTTGCGCTACCATGAACCGGGACTGATACTTATTGTATATTTTAGCAAAGGAACATTAAGAAGGCTGATAGCTAGAATTGGAACTAGACCAGGCAGTGCTCCAAGACTAACAACTTTGAAAAGAATTCCAATGGCAAGAAATAGTTGCAGAACAAGACTCCATGCCATGTGAAACCACCACAGCGTATCCCCCATTCTATATGCATCAACTGCTATGTAGCTCATGATCTCACCAGTGGAGTGCCGCCTTCTTCCCAAACTAGATAGTTGCAGCTGCTTTCGGTAGATTGCAACCATTATGGCCGACCTTCTTGAGTTGAAGTACCATTGCCTTTGTGACAAAGATTCCATGAACTTGATGCCTGCTAGGCATCCCACAAGAATCAAACCTTTCGATCTGTGTTTGTGCTCGTCGTTGGTGTATTGCACAAAGGCATAGAGCAACAACGGTGATGCCAATACAGCAAGTGTCCTAAGAAATGCACATATTCCTACAAATATCATTTCTTTCCTATTTATGCACTTTAAGCAAGGTTCGGAGGAGCAAGTTATTTCCATCGTTTGAGTTGAAGTCTCTACGAAGAGAATCCCATTTGGAAGAGAATTTCTTGTATGCTAGTTCTGCTTCATCTTCTGGCAAGAGTGTGGGGATGTCTTCAAGGGCTAGTGGTTTCGATTTGCCCGAGTGTAATAAGTGTATTGATCCATGAAAATGTTAAGCGGCTAATGAAACTGGCTTGACCTAGTTTTGTTTGAGTACTTTCTTCACCTTCTTTCTTCTCTCCTTTTCCAGTTGTTGATAGTTTGGTTAGACAAGGAAAGTTGCGCAAGTGACTAACAGCATCACGGAGGATAAATATCATGTTTCCAGACCATGCCACCATGTTCATAAAAGAAGAAAATCAAAATTCTTTGGCTTGAATGTTCTATAAATCTGCAGTAATATTTAGTTTAGCAACCAATGAGGGTCGGCAGGAAAAGAAATTACAGAAGTCAATCCATATATAATACAATCCTGCCCTATAAAATAACAAAAATGGATCAAATGAAATATGATATATACCCAAGATTACTAGTACTCACTTAGCAGTACATGTGTTATGATATCGATCCCTGGACAAGAAGAAGAAATAATCGAAGGAAAAAGGAGCCAAGAATGACAATATTGCGTACATGGGGTTTTTGGAGGTCGAAAAGCTAGTTAGATGTGTAGAATGACTGAAAAACAGGATAACTGGAGAGGATCGATGAGGACAGGGAAGAGAGGGAGATAGCCCATTGATAGAAGTAATGTGCGAGGCGTAAAGGGTCCCTACTCTCTAGCTATCAATAGGTAAGTAAAGACAGAAATCTTAAGGTGGCATGAGTTGGATATGGACATTTGAATCTCTCTTTTGTCTGAGGCTAGAAAAGTTTCTTAGAATCGAATTATTGTTGATTCTAAATACAGTCATCAAGAAACTTTCCTCAAATGGTCCTCCACCGGTCACAAAAACCTTCCTCAATTGGTCCTCTATCTATTCAGAATGCTTAATCGAGTTCAATCTAAAATCTTCGCAAGGATAAATGAGGTCATTTTAGTGCACAAAGTATACAGTTTAGAAGGAAAAGATTTTAAATTTTGGTTTCAATAAATATGTATTGAAGATTTTTTTGGATAAAAAAATAATGTAATGCGAGTATTCTTTGAGAATATAAAATAACTTGCCTTATCTTTCATTTTATGGAAAAAAAAATCCTCATCAAAAGTGGCCGAAGAAGTATTAGGCAGCCACAGGCCCACAGCTCTAGCACAAAAATATTATCTTTGAATTGTGGGCCTGAGGCTACCTACTCTTAAGTCTTTCCAATTCTCAAATCTTTAAGATTAGAGAAGTTAATAGTGGCCGAAGACGTATTACTAGGTAGTCACAGGCCCACAACTTTGGCACAGAAATATTATCTTTGAATTGTGGGCCTGAGGCCACCTACTCTTAAATCTTTCCAATTCTCAAATCTTTAAGATTAGAGAAGTTAATATAAGTTTGATAATTTGCGCCATAACGTAGATTTACTAATATCTATTAAATTTTGTGTTTGATTAAATTTTCTGCCAAAAAAAATATTATTTATTCTTCTTTATATGGATTTTTAACTAAATACTTTTAATAATTTTTAAAAAATTTAAAAATTCATAGATTCTTAACTAAAAACTTATTTTATAAATTTAATCTAAAGATAAAAAATGTTTCTAAAATAATTTATCTCATATTTAAAAAAAATATTTTATACTATATATATATATATATATTTAAAAATCCTTACATAGAGAAAAAAAATATTTTTCAATAAATAAAATTTTAGAAAATAAAAATTAATTAGATGATAATCTCAATAAAAATAAAAAATTAAAGGAATAAATTTTAAATAATAAGAATAATATAATATAAAAATATATGTTCATTTTAAAACATAAAAAAACATATCATATAAAAATTTTTCTTGCCAAGCTATGTTTGAAATTCAAAAAATAACAATCGATATTCCATAATCTTTGTTCAAAAATCCATAATAAAAATAAATAAATAAAATTACTAAAAATAGAGCTGAGTTTAAATGTAGACTTGCTCTAAAAAGCAAAATAGACGTGTCATCCAATTGTTATGCAGCAGACGATGTGTCATTCTTTTGTAATTTCTAGAAGATTTGTGAGTTTTTAATTTTTGGTCTCTCCCAGTCAAATTCAACCCTACTTTTGTCCAAAAAAATTCAAAATCACAAGAATAGCATTAATAAATTCATTTTAAAATATTCAAATTTATTTTAATACACACAAAAATTCAAATCAAATTAAAAAAAAAACTCAAAATATTTTTGAATTCTATTCTACCTTCTCCGAATATTTAATAACTTGTGATCACTACAAATAAATTCTACTATTCAAGACAACAAATTTGATTGTGAGTTCTACTATCAAAGTGATTGAAATGGATTTTGTCGTCCATCTCTCTTTTCTATCTCGTATCTTTTCTTTCTTTATTTTTCTCTCTTTTAATTATTTAGATATCGGATCGCAATACAAATAAAGTTTGAAATTAAAAATTTTATTTGAATAGATGAAAGACTAGAATGCAAAAATATCAATAAACAGTAAAAATTCTCGTAGAATTGAGTGTGCATTCATAATGTGTATGGGCATAGAGCAATAAGAAAAATAATAGTAATTGTACAATATTTTCATATTTTGTTTGAATTTATTGTATAAAACGTCATTAGTGGTGATAGTCAATAATAAAAAGAGTAATGCTATTTGTTTTAAAAAGAAAAAAAATTTGTGGGAAAAGTTATTCCCGCGATAACTTTTGTTATTTAAACCACAAGATCATTGAAAAGTACAATTTCCCCTTCATAATTTTTCCAAATTACCCTCGTGAATACCTCAATGAATTGGTGGCTTTCTTCAATGCTCCTGGTTTGCACTTCTGATTTGCAGAAATATTGTTAAAGATCAATGCCACAATAACATGCCAGTAGTAATGATATAGCATGTCACGTGAAAATATTTTTTCTATTCAATTTTGAATTTTGTAATTTATCTTGACATTTTTGTGACACTTCTTAGCTAGGATACTTCAATATTTTCACCTTCTATCTGGTAATGAATTAAAAAAAATGTGTGAGCTTAGTACTTGTTAAAGGTTCTAGCAAAATCCCTTTTTCTTTTTTCCAAATTACTCTATATTTTCGTGAATTCTTCTTCTTCTTTTTTTTTTTCAAACAATGGATTTGATTTCATTCACGAAAAAAATATCACAAAAAAAAAATTAAAAAATGCAATCATTGGATAGAAGTTGAAGAGAGACTTTCAATGATCCAATGCCCTAAAACATACCTAGACCCATGGACTTTGGGTAAAGGCCGCCAATGTGGGGTCTCAGGCCCATTCATTATCAATGCAAGTCTCTTGTCAGCCTGGCTTTACCGAAAGGAAAATTTTACCCTCAGCCTCAAGCACGTTCATCACATTCCTCACCCACAAACGCACAGGTACATTCTGGTCCTAAATTCTTATAATGATGAAAACAAGTGATTAAAATAGATACCAATAGGCAACCTTCAGAGAATTACGTAATTAAGAAGTACAATTCGATCTTTTTCTTACATTTTGGCCCTTGCAACTTTCATATAATTTTTTAAATTACATAGAACTTTGTTTTGCAGGAATAGTAGTGGATTATTACCATAATTTAGCATTAGAAGCAATTTTTGTCAAATTGTGGAAGAAAAAAAAGAGAGAATTTTGGAGGATAAACCAGGTTTAGAAGAAAATAAAAGGAATGATAAAAAAAATTGAATAATATAAAATATTTGGAAAAATACTATTTGTAAGTTTTATTGTTATTATTATAAAAATAGGCCTTATAGGCAATACCAATGGGCAATAAACTTAATGAAATGATAAATACCAATAGGCAATAAACTTAGTGGCAATGAATTTTTTTAACTTATAAGAAATTGTGGGTTTAAATTTTTCACTTGGACTTAAAAGACAATAGGAGGCCAAAATAGTTATTTGTCTTTACAGTCTATAACCATAATATGATTTTTTTTGTCTCGCTAATTATTAATGCTAATTTTTTGACTACCCAATAGTAGGATCTTATCGTTAAAAGAAAAAAGATAAATGGATAATAAGCGAAAATGATTAAAAGAAAATTATTAGGAGCTAGAATAAGATTTTCAAGAAACGAGAACAACGGCAAATGCCTTCAAAAGAACAAGAAGCTGAAAAAACAATATCTTGCATGTTAAATAAACAGAAGTTTTTTTATGAACAGAAAAAGGATTCCTTCATACAACTTTAAATATCTAGGGACGGATTATTTGAAAATTATGTTCCATCTTAAAAGTAATTTTTAATTATAATTGACTCCATTAGCACCCGTGATTTTCAAACTCTTACAAAACAATCTTAAAAAAATATTTTTTGTACTTTAAAAATTATTAAAGCAAATTATACTCTTTTAATAATCCACGTCTATTATTAATTTCATACTAAATGCAATCTTATTAGTCAAATTGGGAAAAAAAAAATCAGAAAACTCAAGGTTTAATAGACTAAAAATAAAACAGAGGGGTACAATTGGATAACAAAAGAGAATATGCTATCTGATTGACCAAATTAAAAAATATAAGAATAAAATTGAATAATTGGCATAAACATAGGGATAAATTTAGAGATTTTGTCTCGGAACTTCCTTCTACAAGGAGTCTACCGTCCCGAGCTTAACTGAGCGTTGCATGCTAATCAAATCTGGAGACATGCAATGAACATTGCACCGTCTTTAGCCAAAACTACTGTTTTCGGTTTCTTGATTTTCCAGCTGTACCGGTAATCTAGTTTTATAAAAAAAAATTGAAGGACCAAAATATATTCAATGCATGTGAAAAGGATAAAAAGGTGATAAAAACATCCATAAGTGGTTTTTTTTTTTTTTGTGGTTTCCAATGCAATATTCTCAGTATTTTTTTGTTTGACCACGTGAAATGTCTAACTCATATTTCCAATCTCGACACTG